GATTTCAAGGAGGATATTAGCCTTTGGACAATATCAACTTTGTGGAGAATAGGGCAGAGAAAGAGAAAGAAATTGGATATATGACAAAGTCACTGATTTGCTGAATCAAATAATCTTGGAATCTGTCTATTACTGTGCATTTCCAATTATATATCTCAATATAGTTCTTTAACTGGTTAAGCAAATTTGAGTCAGGCTACATAAAACCCAATTTATGCAGCCAAGAGCATCCTAACCAATATGGAAAGAAGCCAAATCATTTAGAATTATCTTAGCAAAAAAGCTCAAATCATGTGTTCACACCTTAACACTCTGGACTGTTGATGACTATACCTTAATCACAGACATAAGGTAATGTGGCAGATGGGTAGTTGAACTTAACTGTCACTTAAAAAAAGGACATCAAAAACATGAATGCATCTTTATCAAGGATATTTTAAAAAAAAGAAAAAAAACTATATATACTTTCAATATTTTTCATGTTATTTCTTAAACATATTTTTTATGCTAACAAATTTGAAAACAAGTTAGAATAAACCTACAGTTCCTCCTAGAGCTTGAATTTATTTAGTTGTCAAACATTAACTTAATAATCAGATACAGTTTATAAGAAAATTGAGATAATTCATATATTTTACAGTTCAAAAACTTTCCACAGACATAAAAGATTACTCTCTCTATATAAAGAGTAAACTCTTATGTCTGTGGAAACACCTAAGATAATTTACATAAAGGGAAAATACTTTTACCTTATTAAAGCAGTTCACCAAAGCATATACCATGATTCATTAGTAAAACAAGAATCATAACCCAAGGTTTTCTTTTCCTTATTTAATGGCTATGTAAAAATATATTTTGTGTATGTAATATAACAACACTGTAATCTAATACAAGAATTATGTCTCATTAGTCATTTCAGTAATATATAGATATTGCCAGGCAGTTGAAAGTCTGAAGTTTACTGCTGCCAAGTTACTGTGGATAAGCACGAATTTACTTATTTACTTTGGATAGGCATCAATTTGAAGAGACAATTAAACCAAGAAAAACACTTGAACTTCTGCAGTCATAGCTCAAGGATATAAAAAGAAAAACAAAAGGAGATGCATCCTGAGTCCACACCTGAAGTCTTAATGTCTGACTCTGGCAGCAAGAACCAAAACTTCAGTTTAGCAAATTAGAGCTCTTCATATGTCTCACACATAACAGCAGCTTAGAGACACAATCAAATATAAAAATCTATTAAAGCAGGAGACAAAAATCTGCATTATTGTCTGGAGGTGAGATGAGAAGGCAGAGAGGGTTAGGAGCTGGTTGAATGGACATGGGAAATCAGGGGTGGAAAGGAGTGTGCTGTCACAGTATAGGGAGAGCAATTAGGGCCACATAACAACGTATGTATAAATTTTTGCATAAGAGACTAACTCAAAATGTAAACTTTCACTTAAACTAAAACAATAAACCAAAAAAAAAAAAAAAACTGCACTGTTAAAGGATAGAGATTAATTTATAAACTGTTATAAAAGAGAATAACTGAGGGATAGAAACCCAATGAAGTACAGGAAACTGGTTAGCAAATGGTTAAACAATTTTTCAAACTGCTCCATGTTAAACCATTATTGCTGAACTGAAACATCAGCATCCTATTAGGATGTGAACTGTTAGTCCAATCACACCCCTATGTAATGCTCAAAAAATTAAACTCAAAACTCAATTTTACTGGATATATGCTTCTCAGAGACTACTGTCAACTTCTAAAGCAGAAACAGTTGAAGTAAGAGCTATGTCGCTATTACTTTTGTGCTAAAAAGCACAGATTCATAAAACCCCTTGTTAATGAAGGTCTAAATTTTAAGAGTTGGAAGGAACCTCAGGGGGTCAATTCTAATCCAAACTCCTTCCCAAGACAGAAGACTCCACTCATTCATTGAGTTTTCCAAGTTCAAGACTCATGTTGACTGCTGGGGGTGACACAAATACATCTAAAACCTGACACCTTCCCTCAAGGAATCTATAGGATGCCCAAGGAATTACAGGCTGTGAAACAGAGTGTTGTCATAATAAAGACAAAAATAAAGTCCTAAGAACTAAGAGGCACCTTTCAGCAAAATAAAGGGCATCAGGAATGTTTACGTGATCTTTGAGCTGGGCCTAGAACAAGAGGTCAAATTTGGACATTTGGTAATGGAAAGAAAAGACATTCCAGAGAGAGAACAGAATGGCCCTAATCAAACAGCTTTCATTTCCAACCACTCTTTCCCCTACATGTTCTGCTCTTTCCACGCCAGTCTTCTTGGTGTTCTTCAAATAGCCATTTTCTCCGTCACAACTGGTACTCCCCCTGCCTGGAACGCTCTTCTCCCAGATATGTGCAAGGCTGGCTTCCCTTGGCTCCTTCAAGTCTTGACTCAAATGTCACCTTCTTAGTGAGGTCTTAGCTGACTACCTATTTTAAATTGTCATCCTCACACTATCACCCTTCCCTGCTTTATTTTTTCCACAGCATTTATCACTACCTGACATGCTATATATTCTACTTGTTAGTTTTGTCAGCCCCCCTGCCCAAACAGTAGAAGTTATCTGTTTATCTCCAGATTCTAAAACAGTACCTGTACGTGGCAGGCATGTAATAAACATTTGCTGACAAACTAATTGATGGAATTGATGAAATAAATTAATGAAAAAGATTTCTGCCCTGAAATAGCTTAGGCTCTAGTAAAGGAAGCAAATATACACACAAATCATCTTAAATTATCTCTAAAGGCAAAAATACATACATAGTTGGCAAAATTCAACACATGAAAAAAAGACTAACACACAAAAACAGCTCCTGGCATCCCCACTTCTATACTGCCAGTGACCACTAGATTCGTCTTTTTACACCTCCCAGCCCTTTAACCGCAGTAGCTGTATCACTCATACAATGGCCAAAAATGTCACCAGAGCTGCTACTAATGCCAGAACTGCCTATTTCCATTAACCTTCGGAGCTACCTGCTAAATAAAAGCCAAGGATATTTCTGCCTACTGCTGGACAAGAGAAAGATGTATTCCCAGATTCCCAAATTAAATACATTTTTCTGTAGAGTGGTTGAATTCTGTACTACATGAGTCACCACACTGATTATACGGATTAGCCAAGAAACCTATTTTGAGTATTTCTAAATTATTAAGTGTAAGAATGCAAAAATAATTTTTGAATTCTATTTCACTATCTTGCAAATTAACTGCCAGTGCATACCTTTTCTACACTGAGAATGGATGGCACTGACAAAATGGTAAAGAAAAAGACTCCTTCAATAAAAGCTAGTACTATATTTTAGGCAAATGAGTAACAATTTAAAGTTCATGGCATTCTTTCCACTTAGTAGGATCAACAAGAATTTTATCCTGGATTAAAAAATGATGTAGAATTCTTACATAAAGCATTTGCTTTTGCTGGTGGTAGTTGCCGTCAAGTTGATCCTGATTCATGGAGACCCATGTGCGCAGAGTAGAATTGCTCCATAGGGTTCTCAAGGCTGTGACCTTTTGGAAGCAGACTGTCAGGACTTTCTTCCGAGGCACCTCTGAGTGGGTTCAAACCACAAACGTTTAGGCTAGCAGTCAAGTGCTTAACCATTTGTGACACCCAGGGTCTCCACACAGAGCATTAGTACTTAAATTATACTAAGCTAAAATCAAAGAAAAGTAGTAGAAAATATTTTTTTTATCTCTAGCAAAACTACTTAAGGAAATGAGAAATAAGCTCAAGATTTCTCACTTCAACACCTACACAGATGGCATTATCATTTTAGGCAAACTGACATTTTTGCATTTAATTTCTAATGGCAGGAATGATTTCCATCTGGGATTTATCTGCATAAAAGTGTTAGCCTGGCACAATTTCAATATTTAATTGAAAGTTCATTTCTGGTTATAAGCAAAACGCCTCAATAAAACACAATAGTCATATTTCTACATTTAATCCTACATTTAATCTACTATTATGTCTTTTGCCTAGTGGTGAATTTAGCCCTCTGACACGTAGATCTAGAATCCTTTCTCAATCATTAATAAACTCCTTATCTTTACTACTTTAAAGCCTCCTGCACTTTTCAACACTACTTACACTTCTAAAAGAAAAGCTTTACAAACATTACTATTCTTCGTAAGCAGAATAACTCTATATTACAGCAAATGCCCTCATATAAAAAAATGCCAGACCAGCAGCTGAAAGAATAACTTTCAGGTATAGATTCACGGTTCTAATCTGTCAACCACAAATAACGTGACCACTTATTTCCAAAGAAAATAATTTACAGCCACTACAGGTAAAAGTCCGATAAAAATGTGAGATCCTCGCTTATCTTTTTCTTTAAAGAGAAGACATCCGAAAGTCACCCTAAGCAGTCAATCATGTGTCGAAACATAAAGGAGAGACTGTACAGAGCATGCAGTTATCGAAACACCAGAAGCCAAAGTTCCTGCGGTATAACAGGATCACAGTGAAAACAGCAGCCCATACGCCCAAACGGTAACAAAAAGAAGTCCACCAGGAAAGGCTGTTTCAGAGTGAGGGAGGTGGAGCAAGAGAAAAACGAGCTCCGCGGTGTCTTCTTCAGAGGCTAACCGTAAACCGCGGGCAGCAGGAAGGGAAGAGCGCGGGGCTGGCTCGCAGGGATGGGTAGGGGCGCAGGTGGGCTGCGGCTGCCCGACAGGCGGGGGCCGGGCACCGAGAAGTCTCCAGAGCCTCGCCCAGGCAACCGGGAAGCCACCCACCCTACAGACGGGCGGAGCAGCCGCCTGAACAGAGCCACGTCGGAGAATGGGAGCGCGGCGGGGAGGTGGGCGTCCTGCACACCCACCGAGAGGCTGACAGCCTGGGAGCCCAGGTCGGCCGGGGCGTCAGATGGGCCGCAGCGCGCCTGAGGGGGTCGTCCTGAGGAAGCGGAGCTGGGCGCTGCCCGTCACCAACGAACGACTCCCCCTCGCTCGGATCGGCGGCGGCTGGATACTCACGTAGGGCTGGTAGAACTTGGACAGCCGCGGCTTCCCGTGGTTGTTGAAGATGAGGATCGCCTTGATCATGGCTGGGCCGGGCCGACCGGGTGGGCGCGCGAACCTCGCCTCAGGATCTTGCCGGCGATCCTTCCCCACCCACCCCCTCTCGCACGCGCGCGCGCGCGCTCCCGAGCCGCTGGGCGGAGCCGGGGTGGAGCGAGGCGAGGCAGGAGCCGGGGGTGGGGATGGGGGTGGGGGTGGGAAGCGGAAGCATCTCCAGACCCGAGCTCGCAGGCCAGAGGGGCGCCTGCGCAGACACTGGCGCGCGAGAACGTCGCCCACCGCCCCAATGTGGAGGCTTGTGCTGCCAGGAAAACAATTGTTGAGTTATTAACGGTCGGAGGTCTGCGACAGATTCTCCATAGAGGACTAGTCGGAAAGTCAAACTTTGGTTATTGGCTTGCGTCCCCCTACTACAGACACCTCCTCTGCGACGCTCCCCCGCGTAAAGCCCGCCCACTGCACGTGCTTAGCCGCCACTTCCGCCCTCGCCTCCTAGAGAGCAAGATGGCAGAGGAACCGGAGTCAGTGCTGCAGCTCCCTCCCTCGACTGCTGTTGGCGGCGAAGGACTTACGGAAGTCTCCCCAGAAGCCGTCACCTCTGAGCCCCCTTCTTCTGCTGCAGTCTCCCCGGGGACAGAGGAACCTGCCGGAGACACCAAGAAAAAAAGTAATTTTGAGAGCAGTTTCTTTCTGGGTAGAGTGGGAGGTTTAGTTTGCGTCCATCAGGGTATGGCGGCCAATAAAAAAGGAAAATTTAGAGGAGGGTCCGCCCCAGACCTTCTTTTTGATAAGTCAGTAGAGAGAAAGTGTCGTACTTAAGTATTAATATTAGGTTATAGGGATGGTCAGTGGCAGTCTGGATTAGAATCCACGCCTTCTGACTGGTTCGCTGTGTTTTCTTTCTACAATTTTAGAATCTTTTTGAGTCATTTCATTGTTTGAACTAGCTGTTCTCAACCTTTATTGCTTGAGAATTAGTTCATCGTTGTAAAATACAGAATATTCCTGAGGTTACTTGCCCTGGAGCACTCTGTGTAGAGTTGCCTATGAGAAAAACAAACATATAGGGTAGGAAGACATTGGCCTTGGCCTTTAGACAAATTTTCTCAGGCCATAGTCTTTAAATGTAGGTATGGCATGTGTTCTGCTCAGTCTCCGTCTTTTATCTACATTTGCTGTTGTTGTGGATGATAGTTGTCTTTCCCAGTATTGTTAGTTGCCTTAGAGTTGATTCTGACTCATGAGGACCCGATGTGTGCAGAGTAGAACTGCCCCATAGGGGTTTTCACGGCTGTGACCTTCCAGAAGCAGATCACCAGGCCCGTATTCCAAAGTAGGGTGAGTTCGAACTGCCAGTTTTTATTTAGAGTTAATAGGAGTCATAATTTACTAGATGGCAGTGGGTTTAATCAGTAATCGAGTGCTTAACCGTTTCTGCCTCCCGGGGACTCCCTGTGTCTCCCAGTACTTCCCCCCATTTAAGTCAGATTGTCTCTACATTTGGGGGAAGTGATGCACTAGTAGAGAAACAAACCTATTATTTCTATAGATAACCCTGTAATCTTCAGATGAGCCCCACGGGTTTTATAGATTTTTGTTGTATTTTTGTTGTATTATCCCAATTTACCATAAGCAAGAGTGCAAAAGGTTTAAGATCTAATAGTCAAAAACTTAACTCACGACTCTAAAGCATTTTTAACAGCATGATAAAGTGACCAAAATACGCTAAATATGAAACAGCACGTATAATATCTAAATTTCAGAGTTAATAAAGATAACTCTGTATAAACAACCCAAACCATTGGTGTAGAGTTGGTTGCGACTCATAGCGACCCGATAGAACAGAACTGCCCCGTATGGTTTCCAAGGCTATAAATCTTTACAGAAGCAGACTGCCACATCTTTCTCCTGAGGAATGGCTGGTGGGTTCAAACTGCCTGCCTTTCAGTTAGCAGCCAAGCGCTTTAACCACTGTGTCACCAGGGCTTGTTATAACTGTATAACAAAGGCTAAATAATAATGACCCACAACCCAGATATGGCCTAACAGCATGGTTGGTTTGGTCAACTTTGTGTATATATACATTCATATGTATGTGTCTGTATATATATATCTTTTTTTTTTTTTTTAACCAATTGAACTGTTATTTAAAAATCAGATTCTCATTTTCTGGCCCCTGTTAGCATTTGAGTTTGTCACCCCTGATCTAAAACTTAATCTCTGGCTATTGAATTCCTATCCTGAGATGGTCATCATTTTGGAACCTCTTCTGGTGAAAGAAGCTTAAATATTTCATATGTTGCACCTTTGGTTTAATCTACAAAAGAAAGAAAAAGATTCTTGAAACAGACTGAGGTTGTTGGCTCTGTGCTGCACATTAGGATCACTAGGGGAGCTTTTCAAACTGTCGTTGCCAAGGCACCACTTCCAAAAGATTCATTGATGTGGACACGTGTATTCTGGTAAATGTTCTCCCAGTTGATTCTAATGTGTAGCCAGGATTGAGAACTACAAGAAAATTACCTTGGGGGCGGTGGGGGGATGGGGGGGGCAGGAAGACTTCAGCTATAATTGCGATAAATATTTTTCCTTCTTTAGCTTTTTTCCCTCCCGTTCTTCCCTCAGTAGCACAAGTTGTAATATCTTCTGAATTGCCTGATGGTTGACTTGCAGCTGAGTTATTGGTAGCTCCAAGGAATTGAGGGAGTAAGGAAAGGAGATAGAGAAGGTGAGTTAGCCAGAAACCCCTCAGTAGACCAGAAGAACTAGATGGTGCCTGCAACCACCGCTGACCATTCTGACTGGGGTCACAATAGTTGGTCTTGGATAGAATCGGAGAAAAATATGGAGTAGAACTCGAATTATTTTTTAAAAAAGCCAGACAAACTGGAACACCAGAGAATAGAGGACTCCCTGAGACTATTGCCCTGAGACACTTTAAATCTAGAACTGAGACTATTCTCTGAGACCACCTTTTAGCGAAATAGAGTGGCACACAAAATAAAGGATATTACCCAAAAGATCAGTACCCTACTTAAAAAACTATCAGTATGAGACCAGAAGGTCAACAGTTACTCAGAAGCAAAGATGAGATGAGAAGAGGGCAGGGAAACCAGGGTATTAGAAAGGGAATAAACAGAACACAATTAGAATGTTGACACATTGTAATAAGTATAAGTGTCACTGAACAGTTTGCGGAAAGTGTCAGATGGGTACCTAGCTTGCTGTGTAAACTTTCACTAAAATATTTAAAAAAAAACCCTTCAGTAATCAAATTCATTCCTTCCTAGTCCCAAGATAACTGAAGCTAGGATAATTAGATAGTTCTTTAGAAGGAAGACAAACTGTGCATCATATGCTCTAGGTGACTTCATTCCAGGGGTAAACTTTAATAAATTGATGTTGACTCCATTGGGTCCCAATTTTTAATACCAAAGAATGGAACAAGAAGGGTGTAATGGAATAGAGTTAACTATAGAGGGCAGCAATAAGCTATTTTGCTTTCAGTGTTATTACTTAATTTTGTCCTTGTACATTTCTTTTTAGTTTTTTCCCTAAGCAAAGTAATTTCCTTCAGGAGACAGAGTCATAGCCTTTGGGTTTGCATCTCTGTATATATTACATCATTGAAACCTTATGACTGCTCTCTGAAACTTTTTTAGGCCTCAATTTTATTTTCTTTTACAACTTTTATTGTTTTCCCTTATTTAAAAGAGTATTGTAGAAAATTTGATAGTTATGTGCTGTTTCATATTTAGTATATTTTGGTCATTTTATCATGCTGTTAAATATGCTTTTATAACATGCTTCTGTAATGGCTGCTTAATAATAATTTCAAAGTTAATGTTATGTAATAGATACTGTTCTAACCATTTTACACGTGTTAACTTAGTTATTCCTCACAACAACCCTATGAGATAGGTACTATTATCCTCATTTTAAAGATGGGGAAACTGAGGCACAGAAATGTTGAGAAGCTTATCCAGATATACATACCTAACAAGTGATAGAGTTAGATTTGAACCTGGAGTGTTTAGGTTGTATGCACTGTATTATGTATTGTATTGATTATGTATTATATATATCTAAATATGTATTAGTTTATTATATATAATTTATTATTTCTGTTGTAGGATATAATATCCGTTATTTAACCAGTCACCTCTTGTTGGATATTTGGATTTTTACCAGGTTTTCTTCTTATTAAAAAAAAATGCTTCAGTGAACGTGTAATCCTTCTAAGTGAATCTTTACTCATCTCATGTTTTCTTAGACTAGATTCCTAGAGTCAAATTATATCTTTAAAATATTTGCATATGATTACACCCCAGAAAGGGTATACCATTTCGCATTTCCACTAATAATATCATCTACACTATTATTATTCTAATCTTTCCCACTTTGGTGGGTGAAAAAACCAATGTTATTTTTTGTAAAACATGATTTTTGTGACATTTGATTTTATCAAATACTTTTTTTTTTTTATCTATCCATATAACCATATATATTTTTTCTCTTTTGAATTTCCTGTTATGTTAAAGTGCATTTTGAAGATTAGTCCCATAGGGAGACCTTTACAGAACTGAGTATCAAGAAACAGTCACAAAAATATGATGAAAAAGAATCTAACATTTTTACATCCCTGACGTATTTCCAGTATCATAAATACAAAAAGTATATATAGATTAACGATTTAAGTTTTAGAAAGTCATTTATATTGCGTTCTCTTTAGATGTTTCAGTGTAATTGTCCGTATATTGCGTTCTCTTTAGATGTTTCAGTGTAATTGTCAGTATTTTTTTTTTTTCATTTACAGTTGACATCCTGCTAAAGGCTGTGGGAGATACCCCTATTATGAAAACAAAGAAGTGGGCTGTAGAGCGAACGCGAACCATCCAAGGACTCATTGACTTCATCAAAAAGTTCCTTAAACTTGTCACATCTGAACAGTTGGTATGAGACCAGTATTGATCATATCCCTACAAAAATATGCAACGGTTCCTAACTCCTTAGGGTGACAAAGACTAACTGTTGCATATGGAAATGCATATTGAGCCACATATGCTACTTTTGTAATGTCTTTTTTTGTCTTTTCCTGGTGGAATTTATGTGTTTTGTTGAAGAATTCTCTGGGGAATCCTGTAATGAAATTAATTTTAGATTTACTTTAACAATGGGAACCAGTTTTTTCCCTATTGGTTGTTTTCCACAGAAAATCACTGACTATCCATGCAGAAAGATCTGTTATAGGATATTAGTACAGAAAAGTTTTTTTTGTAATTTGTTTTGATAATTAATGTTGCTTTTTTCCATTCTTGAGATAAACAATATATTTTAGCCACATGGTGTCAAAGAACTAAGGTATCTATTTTGTATTATAGTACTTGTTAAGCATTTCATGGTGGCAGTTGTAGTTTAAATGCCATTGGTTTTTAACTTGGTACCTGGATACAGAAATTTAAATGTCTACATGCGTATGACATCTTGTCAAGTATTAATGTATCAGACACCTTTACTTACATAGAAATCAAAATTTTGGACTGTATTAACACAGGTAGTGTATGAGTGGATAGGTAGGTGGAGAATCACTAAGTAATTTTAAAATAATCACTAAGTAGTTTTAAAATACAAATTTGTATTTCTGAATGCTGGAGGGGGATATATTTT